AAGTTCTTGGGTGATGGCAACACTGCTCCTTCCTGTCATCTCCAGGAGGCTTTTGAACTGCCATTCCTCTCAATACTAACTACCTTCTCTTAACACTTACCCTCCCTTAATATTCTGCCGCCAGTGATCGTTAATTTCTCTTTATCACGTTTTACTTTCACTTGATTTTGTCATCGCTAACTGTACAAGATCGTACTCTGTCATTTTTTGGTTGTGTTTTCTCGTACTCATCTCCCTCTATTTATCAGTTTACTTGTGTTATGTTTATCACTTATTCTTATTGTTTTCCCTTTTAAGGTTTTGTTGTTTGTTTATATTTCATTGGTTGTCCCCCTATGGTTCGGTATTATTTCTCCCCTAATCAAATTATTTATTATCACCTCTGTTTGGTTCACAACATTGCAATTATTTCTTAACTTTTTCGTCCAGTATTTTTATTTATGGCATCACATTTTATCACATTTATTTATCAATGTCTTTGCCTCTTTTCCGCCTTCGCTCCTTCCTCCCCCTGTCCCCTCTCCGCAACCCCCGCCGTCTGCAGTTCCACTAACGAGGACGAAATGTGCAACTTCTACATCATGTACTGGACGGCGAAGGAGCCGCTGTCGCAGAAGAGCTGCTTCTCCCTCGGCCCGCCCTTCTACTACTGGACTCGCGGCGGCCTCGGCAACATCCCCGACAAGGATGCGTCCTCGCTCCCCGTGGGGACCTCGGCCAAGGAGACCGGGGTGGCGCCGCACCAGATTTAGGAGCACATGCACGAGGAGAAGTGCTGGTGAAGGAGGAGCAGGTGGTGGTGATTTTGGAAGAGGAGGTGATGTCGAAGGAGCAGGAGGGGATAGCAAAAGGAAACGAGAATAATGAAGAGAGAAATCATGAAACCCTCAAGGATGTCATAGCTTTAACGTTTTAGAAACCCTTAGAATGAAGCGTTTTAAGGACTGCAATTGCTTAGCAAACATAGGATAAATATGGAGAAAGATTGTCCTGTAGACACTAGCACAAGTATATTACTTCTGTTTAGTAGATGGGATATTCAGGTTTCTATTCAGTGTTCTGTTATCAGTTATTAACCTTTGTTATACATTGCATAAATTTTATTATCAGCAACATATAAACGACATTTTATGATTTAATGCCACGCACAGCCCAGGCACGCTGCTCTCCACACATTCCAGTGTGAAGAAATTACATGTAATGCGTCGCAGCAGCTTCGGTTGGAATGGCGTGGCGGGTTCTGTTATTGTTTTCTTGACTTAAGATTAAAATTATTTATTGAAAATGTTTTTGTTTTTTTTGCTTCGCCCTTATAATTTTATCTTTATGCATGTATTTTTTGTTGTTTTAGTTTGTTTTGCATTTGTTTTTTCGTTTTTCTGCTTATACATATATATATATCTATATAATATGTTTTTATTTATTGATTTATATAGGTACACACACACACACACACACACACACACACACACACACACACACACACAACACACACACACACACACACACACACACACACACACACACACACACACACACACACACACACACATTTACAGTTTATTCGCCCTCATGCCGCTTTGCAGCTCTTTAAAATACGCTTTATTGCGTGCGTGAGTGCGTGTGTGTCTGCCAGCACGCTTGCATACAAGAGCTATAACCCAAGCCACAATGCAAGCAAACCAGAGAGAAAAACAGAAAGCAAACAGACATTCAAGAGCCGTTCTTCCCCGCCTCCCCCTCGCCCGACCCAAGAGCCACCAACGACGACGAAATGTGCAACTTCTACCTGCTCTACTGGGCCGACGCCGACGCCCCCGCGCCGACGCCGACGCCGACGCCCCCGCCGACGCCGCGCCCGGGGAGGGGGGAGGCGTCCTCGACCTCAAGACCTGCTTCTCCGAGGGACCCCCGGGATATGCGTGGAGGACGGACCCGAGGTTCAACAACGTGGTGCAGGAGGAGCTGGAGGGATAAGGAAGAGGAGGGAGAAGGATAGGGAGAACGAGGATTGGGTAGGGGAAGTGGGGGAAGGAGGAGGAGGAGGAGGAGGAGAAGAAGGAAGAGGAGGAGGAGGAGGAGGAGAAGAAGGAAGAAGGGGAGTGGGAGGAGGAGGAATAATAAGAAGAGGAGAGAGGAGGAGGAGGGGGAAGAGGAGAAGGAGGAGGAAAGGGATCAGGGGGAGGAGGGGGAAAACGAAGATGAATAGATCAGGAGGAGGCGGAAGACGAAGAGGAAATTGGAAGAATGAAATGGAGGATGTACTAAAGAAGAAGAAGCGTAGGGGGGATGAAAAGAAGAGGAGATTAGATAAGGGCAGAGGAAGGAGTAAGAGCAGGGATGATGAGAGAAAGAGTGAGTTGGGCAGTAGGGGGAAGATGACACGTGAAAGGGCAGTGAGAAAGTAAGAGGGAAGGGGAAAAAAGAGGGAAAAGAGGAATTAGTGAAAAGTAGACAGAAAAAAGACGAGGAATGACAGGGGAAATGTGAATAATCCAAA